TCTGTATCAAGCAAAATAATACATTCATTAAAACATTAACTTCACTATAAAAGCGGAACATCTGGGCTGTAGCTACTCTGTGTCGCCAATTACATGTATTTTATCTGGGACTGAAAAAATGAATCATATTAATTGATTATTTCAATAATCGTCAACTAATTTAGTGATTGATTCATCATTAACTGGAGAATAGAGACTCTAAAACATAATAAAAATGTAAAATATGCCTTTCTCCGACAGAGCTACCCACTTAGATCAGTAATTATACCAAAATTTTAAAAATGCAACATATATATATATAATATATAAGATAAAAAAAATGTTTTTGTCTGTCAATATTCTTTATCCAGAACTCATCAAGAGGAAATATTTTAGTATCACCTGGTTTATTTAGACATCACCTGAAGCACTGAACGACAGCTGCTTCACCTACAAGCTGCCCTGCATCATTACTGGATATCTGTGTTTCCTATAATCATATAAAGTGCATTTGTAATAGTAAAGGATTAAATGTAACACAACCTTTTATCATCATCCTATATTGCTTACTGTCTGACTGTTTAAATAGCTCCTTATGTATATTTTCTTTTTTAGTGGCATCATCTACAAACACAACACTGAGAATGAGCCTAAGTGTATTAAAATATAAAATCACTTTTAACAATTATAAAAGACAATATAACACTATCTTATCTGTAATTTAATAATATCCAAAATAAACAGCCAGATTCAAGTATTTTTACCAGACATTAATGTTTGTACTAATTTACTTATAGACTGTGTGGAAATCTATGTAAGATAAAATCAATGTTAATATTCTTCCTCTGTTTGTTCTTGTCTTTATCCTATTTCTAGCAGTAGAAATAGTCAATTAAATTATTATTATTATGTGGAACCCTAATTATGCCTTTAAACGAAAAATAGCAGATGTTTAGACGCCTTTTTTGTTCTTATAGGCTACTTTATAGAAGAAATAACATCTGCTAATAATTATACCTGAAAGAGTCATCAAAAAATGAAAACAGTAATAGCAACTAAATATCGGTAAAAAGGAAACCCTCACATTTTCATTCTTAAGTGGCTGTGGCTAAGAATCAGAAATGTTGATGGCTTACAGCCTTTATTTGCCCATTTTTCCAGCAGTCTTCAGAACTCCTGGCTGACTCAGAATATTTCGTTTTATAAAAGAAAAAAAAAAAGGTTTTTGTTTTTTAGTGCACATGATATTCATTTTTTTTTTAAATTGGGACTAGTTTTGCAGCCTAATATTAATTGCAGTAACCGCGGCATTTTAGTGTAAATAAATGTTCAATGTTGTGCTCCAAGCACGGAAAACAGCCTATCAAGGAGAGAGAAGGCGGGACCTAAGGCAGAACAACCAATGAGAGTGGAGTTAAACAGCACAGCACAGTTCCATGCGCTGCTACGTGAAAGGGACAGGAGAGACCAGGCAGAGGAGCTGAGAGAGGAAAAGAAGCCACTGCTGCAACAACTACTGCTGTGAATTATAAGCATGTTGCTCACATCCAACTATTGGTAGGGACATGTCCCTATTATGGTCCCTATGCAAACCTACGCCCATGGATCCAATGCCTTTGTGCGTTTTGACTTGAGTACAATCAACATTGTGAAAGGGACAGGAGAGACCAGGCAGAGGAGCTGCGAGAGGAACAGAAGCCACTGCTGCAACAACTACTGCTG